TCTCCCTCACCCCCCCTCTCTCTCTCTCCCCTCTCCCTCACCCTCTCCCTCTCTACCTCTCCTCCCAAAACCACATGTAAGTCTGATGGGTTTGGGTTTTTTTACACTATTAAGAAATCTTCTCCCCACCTCCTTTAAGTAAGTCAGGCGACTCCGTTTCTCTTGTTGTTGTAGGAGACCACCATCAAGTACAACCCTCAGTCTGACCCCAAGGTCAAGCAGCTGGCAGAGAATCATGGACGCCACATGGAGGCTCTTCACAACAGGAATAGGGACCTGGAGAGACAGAGAGAAGGTGACACTCAAGTCTCTTTTTTTGGGTCTTATTTCCTGGTGATGATTGCATCGGTCACAGTGCAGCAACTTTCCAACTTCAGAAAAAACTCACTTCTTTAATTAACTAAAACGAATGAGAGAGTTTTTTAAGCATTTTTTTTTTCAATCTTATATGCAACTGCTATTGATATCATTGTGCTTTATTTACTCTTTCGTCAAATAACGTGCATCATTTGATTGGGTTTAAAAGATACAAATCCATTTTGAATACATGATTTTTGTCTTGCTTAGAAAGTGTTTCATAATTTGTAACTCTTTATTTGGAAAAAAATATTTTTGAGTTCAAATAGCGGTACGTGGTGCTTGCTTTTTTATACTAATGCACAAGACTTTGTGCTCGGCCCCATCTCATAGTCTAGCAGACATTGCTATTTAGTAAGATTGTTTTTCTGACTTGTCTAACCAAAAAATCATTCTTGAGCAGAGATCCGAAGACGGCTTGACGAATTAAGTCGACGGCCAATCAAAGATGATGACTCCATGAACGCTTTGCTACAGGAGCTAAGGGATCAAGAGGCCCGCAACAAGCGCCTGCTGGAGGAGCTCAGGAGACAGCTGTTGGATGCACGGCGTGTGTAAGTGATTCGCCGTCTCTCAGCTCCTTCTTCACTCCCACAGATGTAGTATGTAGACAAGGGTATTATGTTCTACTCTCTGCTGATTTCATTTTACGTCCTAGGGGAAGTTCTGCAAAATGGTTTAATTATTTAATTATTCATTATCACCTGGATATTAATTTTAAAGCAGTGTTTAATGCAATTTTGTTTAAAATGAGTGAGATTTCAGATCAATTTTTTTTTTTGCAGTTGATTTTCAGAAAGGTAATTCGAGTGATGGACAGACCGTCCCTGCCCCAGTTGAAGAGAAATGGTAAAAATTGGTTGTGTATTGTCTAATTATACATGTTACATGTGCTTTTGTATCTATTTCTTTCTTCCTGTCGACAGGCCTCCTCACGTCATACATCACACAACAATGGCACCAGGTGAGCCTTTGAAAACCAACAGGTCTTTGGTGTACCCTATGTTCTACGGCAATTCTTTAGTGGCTGAAATAGCAGCGGTCAGACAAGCCTACATTGCAAATGGCGGATCCGATCCTGACATCCTCCAGCAACTCGCTCAAATGCAAGCGGAGGCTCAGGCGATTGATGACTCACTGAGGAACAGACCGGCCCCCAGCAAGCCAAAAGGTGAATTCATTTTGTCTTACTACATTCCTATCTGTCTATAATCTCTTTTGTTTTGCCCTTTCTCAGCAGTAAATGACCACATGTTAACACACTTCTGTGTCACTCAAATTCAACTAAGAAAAATACAAATGAAAGTGTCTCACCAGCCAACTGCAATTTATGAGAAAGTTTTCATGTCGCTCTTTCTGTGTAGGCGCAAGCATCTTTTTCTGTGCAACATGGTCATTCCTGTTTCAAAGTTTCGCTTTATTCAGGCGAGCCTTTATCATTAAATTCTAAGCACCAGCCTAAGGACACTAAGATTGCCAAATCTGCCATAACTAACCGTCTCTCTCTCTAACCCTTTTTAACTCCCAGTGGAGCATAGACCACCAACAACATTACTCCAGCGAAGCCTGTCCTGTGCATCCTTTTCATCTTCTTTAACTGGCAGTCCTGTTGGTTTTGCTGTTGATGTTTTTGTAGCTACTTTTTGTTTTACGGGAAAGGGCTGCTAACCCTTTGCCCAACCGACCTAAGTCGCCTTCTACGCCATGTGGGGTACGGATACAGTGGTCCTATGCTTTGCCCCCCTGTCTCTTGGACAGGGCTTTGAGAACCGCACGGGTGTAGTTAACCATCATTGTAAACTTATTAATGCTCAAGTGGACTTCCCAGCCCTGCTTACAGTATATATGTGTCCCTGCCGGTCAATATCAGTCATATGAAGGAAATTTCAAAACTATCACCTTTTTTCTACAATTTAAAACAAAAATGAAGTAAGTATGACCATATTTGACGAAAATACAGAACTTTTAATTGTGCGAGGTGAGGAAACACAAAAAGGAGGAAATGGCCTTTGAAGTTGAGCAACATGTTTCTTTAGCATTGGGGGTCTTAGAATTGAGATAGAGACTTGAAATTTAGCAGTTATCTCGACAATGCGACTGCAAGGGAACATACAGAAGTAGAAAACTATTCATTAACAGAGAAAAAAACTTATGGACAAAACAACATTTTAACGAGAATGGACTTCACATCAAATGCAACAAAATATTAGCATTATACTAGGTATCAGATACTAAATTTTCAATGTAGCTGTATGTCAAATTCATCTGTTTCACATGAAAGGCCTGTGCCTCTTGAGAATTTTGGTACCATACTTTTACCTCTCAGTCAATGTTTAAGAGAATGGCAGCTGTTTCAATTTAACATAGTAATCAAATATTGCTGAAGTCACGCTAACGGGCTGCAACCCCACGTTTAACAGATAATGAAAGAGTACCAAGTGCACCAAACATTTCTTTATTAAGAGAGTACAATCATTATACCAAAGAAATGAAGCCTAATTTTTTTCAGACTATGAGATCATTACAAATCAGTATTTTATTGCCTCAAACACAATGATCTGTCATTTCAATAAAAACACCGAGCGTTGTCTCGGCTGGTGCCGCACCAACCCTCGTGGCGATGCTATAGTGTACTGAGTGCTCCCGGTAGTTTTGCGGAAGGATTCATGCAAAATAATTCCAAGCCGAAGACTTTAATCTAATAGAAAAAGAACTGTTCTTTCTATTGGTAATTTTTTTTGACCGGTATTTTACACTTTTCGTGATAAAAATGATCTTTGAAAACTTAAACGCTTTTTTTCTAGGTTTCCTTCCAAAGGCCAAAAATAATAACCACGGGAAACCACGCTTAAAGATGTATAGTTCTCCGCCAATGAAAAGATTATAATATACAAACAGCTTACAGTATTGTAAAGAAGGAAATCTGAACTTTTTCAAGGTGTTCAGCATTTGGTGTTTATAGCAAAAGAGCAAAGAAACAGAGATCTGAATGACCCCCATTTTACTGAAACCACGCGCTCGGAAGGTTCAGTATTTTTTGTTTTGCTTATTTGACCTTGCCACCATGGCAGTGCTTATAAGTCGAGTCAGATAAAGTGCCACAATGGCTAAAAAAAAAACCCACAACCTGCAAATAGTTATTTGTCTTTCATTATTCAATTTTCAGTGACTTTTAGATAAGAATGTTCCCTCGATTATCCAACCTGAGATAAGTAAGTCAAGTAATTAATTTCAGTTATTATTGGTTGTTTTTTTTTCATTTCTTTAGATAACAAGCACACAGATCACCTTCTGACATTGGAGCTGGAAAACGAAAGACTGCAAAGACAGTTGCTACTACTGCAAGAACAGAACCTAACGGCCAGGAACCGCAGAAAGGATGACAGAGAAGGTAGGCGGGGGGCAAGGGTCACAGCCTTTGAAAAAGTCAAGGAACTTGTCAGGCCCAGAGCTACAACTGGCCCAGTACCTCCGCTGGATGTCAAGTACGATGACTCAATGTATGGTCTTAAAAATCAAGTGTATTATGATAACTGGGCCCTGCATTCCACCTGGTCCACAGTTCCAGATCCACTGAAAGCAAAGATAGACAAAGATGTTCAAAATAAATATGGGTATAAACAAGTTTCCAGGAGGTTGAACTTGGAGAGGCGATGGTACAAGGAAGACTATCGCCCTGACAGAGCCAAAACCCACCTTGGGATTGGAAGTCTGATACCTGATAAAGCAGAAGAGGAGGTTCCAATTGTCCCCCCTGCCACTGTAGTGGAAGAGCCAGGTCAGACTCCTTCGGTGGTTGTCCCAACAATAGCTTTGCCCCCACCGAGTGTGGCGGAGAGAGGCAAAGATAAAGATAAAGATAAAACTAAAGACTTTCCTTATTATAAGGTTCATATGGCCTCGAGTAAACTGAACAGAGTAGAGCAAGATTTAAGAAATAATTACAGCAGAATGTCAAAGCCCAATGTTTCTGGTGAAGATCTGGAACTGTGGGACCAGCGTGAAGTGCTGGACTCGGAGGCACCGATCCGGCCTTATAATTATAAAACTAAATTTGAGGATGAGTTTTTCCTGGACACAGCTCGCACTGAGACAGAAGGCGATGCACCGGCAAATAGAACAGGTCACCAGTCCAGGCCAAAGCTTGTAGTTGAAGACAGAAAATGAAGATGGTGTTTTATTTTATGATGCTGGGTTAGAAATTTTATGTTAAGTACTAGTATGGGTACTACTTTGCAAAACTTCAGTTGAGGTTATGCTTCTCATGAAATTTCTAGTCGAATGGAGAGCTTCCCCTGAGGGTCTTTTTGTTGCTGTTTTTTATAAATCAATATTTCCTTTGGCTTTAATCTGGTATGCTGGGACTGTTCTACTTCCACTTTCTTGCCTGTTGCATGGGGAGAAACTGAAGTCTTGACTTGTTGCCTTGGGTATACACTGCACAAACTAGCAAAACTTACAAAGAAAAAACATAAAGTCAGTCTCTGAATTAATGAATCAGCTTATTTATTCATATCAATGAGAGAAACCTCTGGCATTGTGATGGCTCTTTGTGCACTGATACTGCCAGTCAGTGCATTTGGAAATATTTAGTTCTATATTTTTGTTTTAGTCTCCGGTGTGTATCTGTTAGAATTATGGTGTGTAGAGTAGATTCTAGTTATTTTATTAGTACTATCAATAAAAAATCTTTGAAAACAGATTTATTTATTTCTGCTTATTTCCAGGTAGATTACTTTATTGGGAGCGCAGAAGAAGAGCAAGACGGTATCTTATAAATGGTTGCAATTACTGCCCAATTTGTGAAGATTATGCCTCTCGCCTACCCTACCTCTATTGAGGCTAATACGTGTACTTCTTTTGCAACGGTTGAGGAAACATGGCAAGGATTAGCAGTAATGGAATCTTTCCAAATCTTCACATTTTCCATTGTTGGCATGAACTGTTTATCAGAAATTATCCTCCTGGCAAGTTGTTGCCTGTCTTTTGCCTTTGCCCATTACGGTTGCACAGCACTGAATGAAAGGACACACAATCTTGCACAGCACTGAATGAAAGGACACACAATCTTGGACAGCACCTAATGAAAGGACACACAATCTTGCACAGCACCTAATGAAAGGACACACAATCTTGCACAGCACCTAATGAAAGGACACACAATCTTGCACAGCACCTAATGAAAGGACACACAATCTTGCACAGCACCTAATGAAAGGACACACAATCTTGCACAGCACCTAATGAAAGGACACACAATCTTGCACAGCACCTAATGAAAGGACACACAATCTTGCACAGCACCTAATGAAAGGATACACAATCTTGCACAGCACCTAATGAAAAGACACACAATCTTGCACAGCACCGAATGAAAGGACACACAATCTTGCACAGCACCTAATGAAAGGACACACAATCTTGCACAGCACCTGAATGAAAGGATACACAATCTTGCACAGCACCGAATGAAAGGACACACAATCTTGCACAGCACCTAATGAAAGGACACACAATCTTGCACAGCACCTGAATGAAAGGATACACAATCTTGCACAGCACCTAATGAAAGGATACACAATCTTGCACAGCACCTAATGAAAAGACACACAATCTTGCACAGCACCGAATGAAAGGACACACAATCTTGCACAGCACCTAATGAAAGGACACACAATCTTGCACAGCACCTGAATGAAAGGATACACAATCTTGCACAGCACCTAATGAAAGGATACACAATCTTGCACAGCACCTGAATGAAAGGATACACAATCTTGCACAGCACCTAATGAAAGGATACACAATCTTGCACAGCACCTAATGAAAAGACACACAATCTTGCACAGCACCGAATGAAAGGACACACAATCTTGCACAGCACCTAATGAAAGGACACACAATCTTGCACAGCACCTGAATGAAAGGATACACAATCTTGCACAGCACCTAATGAAAGGATACACAATCTTGCACAGCACCTAATGAAAGGATACACAATCTTGCACAGCACCTGAATGAAAAGACACAACAATCTTGCACAGTAAATCATTTCCAATAATTTGCACAATGCTTGCCTTTTTCAAATGTTAGTTGGCCGCTTTGATGTTGATGAATTGCCATAATCTAGGCCGTCTTCAAGTGTGAAAGGATAACAGTGATAATCTAGTCACTTGGGTGATTTCAAGAAAATACATCCACTGTTTTTTGTTTTTGTTTTTGTCATGTGACCCAGAAGTTTCCAGACATCAGTGTTGGGAAAAGATTTTTTTCAAAGTGTTAAACAATGTGAATTAACGCTCATATTAAATTTGGACAAACTGGCATCGAAGTTAATGACAATAACTTTTTAGTCTTCTTGTTGATTCTTGCCTCTGAGCATCATTTTCCAGCTAAAACAAAATGATGGAGAAAATATTATTGTTCTTTCCACAATTATATTTGATCTTTTCACTATTTATGGCTGTTTTTGGATCCTCCTGGAATTCAGTCGTTATCATTTTTTTCATGACATTTCTGTGAGGGAGCAGGAGGGAGGGGGAGAGGATGAGGAAGAATGAAGAAGGTAGGAATAGAAAAGACAAGAAACTTTTTCCTTATGTATATCGTGACCCCATTCCACCGTCCTCTGTGTGCAGCTGGATTGTTTAGTGTTAGGACTGAGCAAAGTGATACGCACGGGTCTGTATATTTTGGGCTGTTTTTCAGAATACTTTTGTCTCCCACTCTTGTAAGTTTGACCACTTCCAATAGCAGCTTTCAGGGCACAGTGAGTGGCTCACTCTGTTTTTGTACATTATATTTTGATTGAATTCTAGAAATGTATACTGTCCATATAAATGCAGCTCATATCTGTGATTAAATGCAAAGGTGCTCAGTATTTGCACATTTTTATTCAAGTATTAGTGCCGTAGTTCATTATTTTTTTTAATGGGCTTTTTCCCATTTTATCACTTTTTTGTAAAAATGGAATTGAAAGTAATGTATAATACAAGGAATAAAAACAACTGCACACCCAACTTGGAGTGATTGTTTTTCGTTTTTTGTCTATTTTTCCCCACTAGTAAGTAGCCCATAGCCCATAGTCATCACTTTGCTCAAACCTGCACATAGAGTTGTGTTTTTTGTGTTTTGCTGGAACTGGTCCAAGACTCTCTGTAACTTTGTGTTGACCTGTGTTGAAGAAGAGTCCTTTTCCTACCCCTCTTGTACTGAATGTTATCGTTGTCGTGACTGCTACTAGTGGTAGGTCCCTCATATTTTTTTCTTTTTTTTTTACTCTGTGTTGTTCCTACTGTCTGACTGTCTTACTTCCCCCCAACACTGAACAACCATTATTCTGTCGATGTGCTCCTCTTTCCTGAAACAAACGAACAATAAGTAGAACAAGTTCATGATGAAAAGTCTGCTTACCAGTTTCAAAGGCAGCACAAGGCAGTGAGAATGCAGACTTGATTTCGACGGTAAATTGCAAACCGTGTAAGTCCAAAATAACTCCCTGTACTTCCAAGGGAAATGGCGTGTGCATGTCGAGAGTGCCACTGAAAACGGACGTTAAACTTTCTTCTGTGCCAACCTCGTATTCCGTAGTCTTTGCTCTATACACATGTTCTTTATCAACACATGATGCAAGAGGGCCTCCAAGCGATCTTTTCAGACAAATTAATATTAATTATAAACTTGACCTAATTTCGGACTTGCACGCTTTGCGACTGCTAACGTCAGTTTGAGGAGAGTGAACGTCGCCCGACGTCTTTCCACTTTCTGATGGGACGTTGTATACCTCTCAGTACTCTCAGATCGTGTTGACCCTAACAGGATGGAAGCAGGATCCTGAATTGTCTAGATAGTGTCGATGGGGGCGTCGACCGACGTCCCGTCTTTTTGTTGGATCGAACGCTGGGTGCGAGTTATTGGAGGGTGCCGCTGATTTGAGGCGGGTGTTTGGAGGGCGCCACTGGTAGATCCTACTTCTTTATGTTCCTTCTGTTGTTTCTGTCTGTCTTACTTTCTCACAGCTCTTAATTACTATTATTGCGTCAGTGTGCTTCTCTTTAGTCAAACAAACTGGTACCAGGTGCTGTTTGGTATCCCATGGGTCTTTCTTTTATCCTACATCATAATGTTTGCAATAAGCGAACTTACAAGAAGTGTACCTGAACTATAACAACACGTGGGTGGTTGGTTGGCTGGTTGGCGCTCTGGTGTAGTCTGCTGCTTCTTTCCTGTTCAAATTCTATCGTCCTTATCTCTCCTTCTTTTCTTTTTATGTTACTCTCTAGTAACACATTTAATCCACGGCGTTTATATGACCTATCTTTGTCACATGTGCTGTAAAACTCTTACTAAAACTAAAATCTCATAACTCCAATCAGACTTTCAATGTCTAAA